GTGGCTTCAATGTCCGCCACATTGAGCTTCCACAAAGAGTCAATCATTAATTTCTTGTGAGATTGCATGTATTCTTCAAGCTCTTCTTCAGTATAGTCCCCTTCTGAGCTGAGTTGTTTTTTCATATCCTCCTGCAGTTGGATTAAAGCAATTGCCCCTAGAACAACCATAAAGGAAAAAAAATATCAGCCTCCTGGGCAAATGTTTTTTAATTAGCAATTCATGTATGTTTGCCAGCCTAGAGAACCAAAACAACCAAAGTATCAATTGTTCATTTATCCAGTCCAAATAAAAAGCCTTAACAAGGGGAGGGCTTATTGTAAAATTGGAAATGAGTCAAGCTGAATTCGATTCAATTCGACTCGACTTGATAATATTTGATTTAGTTTGAAACTCGATTGTAGTTCAGCACGAACTAAAAGTCAATTTTTTTGAATCCTATACATTTCAAAAATTTAATTTATTAATAGATTTTAGTTAAAATGATTGTTTAATTCTTTTGGAAAGAAATCATAACTTATTTTATTAGCTTTGCAAAATTACAAAATATAACTCCAAAGAAACATAATTTCATCATATATATAAAAACTACTTTGTCTTGATAAGACAATAGAAAACTCAAACCATGAAATCCTAAGGTGCTCACTATTTTTTATTACTAGTAATTTATAATTAAGTTTTAAAGGTTCTTTTAAATTTTAATAAATTGAAATTAAATAAAAAAATTAATTATATAAATTATATATTTATATGCTGAGTCAATTCATGAATCTAACAAGTCAAACTATGCGTAATTCACGTTCAACTCATTTATTTATTGAGCTCAATTTTTAGCTACGGAGATGATAGAGTCAAATCAAAAGATCTAAGGGTAGCAATCTAAAACACTTCAGTTATCTTTCCAGAAACAAAAACAGAAAACCATTTCCCACTTAGAAGGCAAGGAGAGATATAGCTCAGTGGATGCAGATCAATAGTTTAGACACTATACGTCCCAAAGTCAATCTAATACTAAATAGTTTCTAGGATTGCAACCAACCAAATGATCTTTGTTGAAATTTCCAATTTCTGATCAGAAAATGACCCTCATAATCTTTCCCAATCCTTTAAACCTACTCCAAGATCTTAAGTAAATATGGTAGTTCCTTGGTCGTAATCTAGTCTTTCTATGTAAATATGTTTTTTTATAAATTTTGTAGAATTAGGATCTCCTGATTTATGATCCTAATTCAACTTCCCGATCTTAAGTAAGATCTTGCTTTTAACTACCATGGTTGTTCTTGCTCCTTTTTCCATGCAGCCTAGATACATTGTATTGGTAGGTTCAATATATCTTTTGAAGTAGTGATAACTTAATCACTATATTGTAAATTGTAGTTAGTTGGCATCGATTATCTTTGTATTCCTTATAAATATAAATAGGTCATTCAACTGAGTGGTAAAGCTCACTTAACTGACTCGAGCACATTCAGAAAAACAAGTTTTTTCATTTTTTCACATGAACTGCACTTTGCCACAATCTAGGTTCATTGTTTTACAAAAGCCTTTGTGGGCAAAAGGTCAATTCAATTCAATTTATCCAAGCCTGAAGAAACATCCAGTGTGAAAAATTAGAGTAAAACTGTATTATTAAGACATGATATAAAGTTAATCACATGATTAGCATAAAGAAACCATATCACAGCCAGGAAAGGCTTTATAGCACAAAGTTTTCTCACCTGTTGCTGCTGTAACTTGAGATTTAATAGAGTGCCCTTTGTTTCTAAACCACTCAGCAATAAAAGGCACACCCAAATAAATTGCTTTCTTGCCTAGCTCTTTTGCTGCCTGCCTTGCGTATATGTAGCCAATGGTATTCAACATATCAACCCCATAAGCTGTATAATGACAACTAATGAATTCAGCAAAAGTACCTCAGTTACACTCGTGCTGAGTAGAGTTAGGTTGATATTCAAATACTTAAGAGATTAGGCAAATGTTTATCCACGTCATGTAAAGTTATTCTTTTAATGATATCCATGATTTTGTAAACAAAAGAACTATGAATTTCAATAACTTTTTACAACCACATGTTGATATTTGTGACAATAAAAGCATCAAAATGAGCTGTTAGCCTGTTACCATGTCTGGAATTATTCTCAGGGAAAAGTACCTGCATTGGAAAGCCAGGCCACTTCAGCTTCTGCATGATTAACAAACTCCTCTTTGTTTCCTTGGACATATTGGTTCAGCCTATTTTTCAGTATCTCCGCAAGCTTTTCTTCTCTCTCCTTCTGAACAACCTGAAGGAAGAATGAATCTGTTAAAACAAAAATAAAAAATAAAACCTGCATCTAAGAAAGGATAAATATGAAATTCCTCACTCAAGATGACCATGTCAAACTTTTGGAAATGAACAAAGATGGACTAGCTACTGCTTACATAGAGCTAATGTTTCAATACAAATTAAAAAAAAATGTAACAGTCTCATCAAACCTAGTCATCTAATTTATAATAAAATTTCACTCTTCCTCCAAAAAAGCCTTGGGACACCTCTTTTATATCAGTATATTCTAACTGAATAAAATGAGATGAAATTAAAAATATTCCCATGTTAACTCTTGTAGATGATAGCATTTACTCTCCTATTCCTTGCTTTCAGTAAAATTACTCCACTAGTCAGCATAAAAAAAAAAAATTAAAAAAAAAAAGACACAATTCAGTTAAAGATCAATTTTTTTTTCTGTTCTCTCTCTCTCTCTCTGTCTGTCTGTCTCTCTCTCTCTCTTCCTATGATAATTTGCAAAACTGTAAATTAGAATAGTTGTTACATTATTATGTGTTATTAGGTTAGGCGTGTCTTTCTTACATAATTCCTTACCTCTCATTATAAACATAGAGGAAGGACAACTAAGTGCATGTTTATGAGTATAACTTTTTAAAATCACATTCAACGGAAAAACACATGTTCCAATGCAGAAAAAATAAAAGCTTATGAGTACAACTTTTTTTTCAACCCTAGTTGAGTGAACTCAACTGGTTCCCAAACACACCCTATTAGTATTGAGTTAGTAATTCTCATTCTAGATTTTTTTTATAATATTATTAATCCCACCAAGCATTGTTGTTGAAACAAAAGTCTTCAACTTAGAAAAATTGGGAGAAATTGCTGCTTTACGAGGTTTGCATATCAGTGGCAACTGAATAGTAATAATCCTCATAAGAACCATTGTCCACACAAAAGCCTTAACTTTAGAGGGAATATTTCACTTCGTCGAGGCTAATTAGGCAATGCTGTACTATTAGTGCGTGTGATAACTAGTTACACCATCCATAGTCACATTAGAATACTATAACAATTAACCATAGCTGAAACGTACTTACATGTACATATAATTTATAAAAGTAGTCATAAGAGGATGCAGTTATTAGATAAATAAATGCAATATATCAAAGTAGTCAAAAGAGAATGCAGTTGCTAAAAAGATTATAAAATACCCTCATTTTCTCTTGCAACTTTTTAGTATCAAATTGCTCCCCTTCAGTAAAAATGTCCATTGAAGCCATTGATGCCATGGCTAATTGGCCTATATATTCCTCAAAAAGCTCACTACCAAATAGCATGGCAAAGATTGCTGCAGGATCAATAATTCCTTCACTGAAAAGAATGGATAAAAGACATAAAATCAGAACAAGGGAAATGTTTCTACGTTAAAATGCAATAAGAGCCCTTAACAAGATTATAAATTTGCACATCTTATCCACTTAATATTTGACTATTAAGTAAAATATTATTGAAAAATAAGTGAAACTAACGTTGAAATTCCTGATTTTCCATGAGCATCATAAGCTTGCCTTTGAGCTGGGTCACTCAGAACTTGGTAAGCCTCACCTAAAACCTAAAACCAGAGTATCAAACAAATAGGGAATAACTAGTGGCAACAAAAGTTGATTGACAATATTAAAATTCAATTTATGCATGATGTACAATCAATGAAAAACAGTGGGATTAGCAAAATGGTATTAACACATCATCATATTGCCTATTTTGTTGAAGACATACATGCACACATATACCTTGGTAAAATTGACAATAGGAGATAATAGACAATATAAAATTCAATAGGTGAGTTCCAAGATATAACTTATAGATTGACTAGTACCAGAATGGCAGAATGCAAATTATGTCATGTTAACATGAATATGATCTCAAGAATTATGGTTCGTTGACTTAAAAGATTTTTAGATCGACAAAAAAAAAAAAAAGTTGATGTTATTTAATGGGGAGAGGATTTACTTACTCCAGGTAGAAAGCCAATATGTTTTGATATAAAAGAATTTCTTACAGAAAGGAAAGTAGTTTTCAACAATTAACTAGGCAATCCAGGTTAGATGGCATGCTGTGCCCTTAAATAGTCCAAAACAGAAACATAACATTCTTGCCTGAAAATTTTGCGCAGCAAGAGGATCATTTGGGTTTTTATCTGGATGCACTTGCCTTGCCTGCACATTTGGTAGAGGAGAAAAGAAATAAATACCATGATGAAACCACTGGACATATTCTAAAATATGTTATATGGTACAAGATGATAACCATTTAAACGGTAAATAAAGTACAGAAGAAGAAACCATGAAGTTATATTTTAGATTTTCAAAGTTAAACGGCCATTGGCTGTATAAGCAATTCAATCAACGAGTAGAAATATCTTTTTGAAACCAACAAAATGGCCAGATCCAGCCTTAGGACTTACGCATCTGCCATTTTCTGTCTATTTAAACGGGTAAATGAGATTAGACGGATCTATTGAGGTTTAAGATAGCTTGCAAAGCAAAATAGTTACGTAGCCCTAGGTAATACCGTATCATCGGGAAAAATAATCAATTTATTAATTGCGTTATTGATATGAAATGAAAACAAATAACGCAAACAAGAAAAAAGGATTGATTAATTTAGATTATTACCTTCATGTAATAAGCCTTCTTAATCTCGGCTTCGGAAGCCGTAGGACTGACACCCAGCACGTCGTAGTATTCGGTCTCCTTCACCATCTCAAAGCCCAGTTGATTGATCTTCAATGAGAAAAACCCTAGAATTATTAGATTTCCGCTAAACTGCGACGGCAGGAAGAGGGAAAAACACGAAAGCGATAAAATATAAGAATATGAGTACTCCCAATCTATGACGTACTCCAAACCAAAAACAAATGGCGTTATCCTTCTTGCTAAGGCCAAAACTCTCTCTCCGCCTCTTGTGGTTGGTATAGACTTCGGAATCCGGGCGTTGACCGCTGCAACCGCGCAATTCTTTGTGTGAAGCCCCCCTCTCCCGGTGGTTCCGACTTTTTTCCCTTCCAATCTAACTAGCAACTAGCAACTAGCAATCTTGGCAAATAAAAAATAAAATAAAATTACAAAACATAATTTATTAAAAAATGTAAAAGAACAAAATTTAAAATAAAAAAAAAAACATGGAAAGGTGTATCAGTATTTCTAATCATTTAATTTAATCACTTCATTATTTCAACGGTTATCACTAAAACAAGGCTGTAGTCTACCCTCTATTTATAAGGCTTAACCTAGTGTTTGGAGAGTGGGATTGTGGTAGTTAAAGTGTGAGAATTTAAGTTTGATGTCTTTGTAATTTATTTCATTCAATATTACCAAATAAAAAAGTTTATTCTCTATTTGTTTATCTATATAAAAGTATCAAATATTTCAAAGTATTTAATTGAATCACTTAATTAAAATGATTTTAAATACCAACAATCTAAAAAATATAAGTTATACATATTTAAATTTTTTTAATTCTAAAATTTAATTTCATTTTTTATGTAATTAAACATAGATTAAGTAAATTTAATTTTAATTTTAATTAGACAAAATACTTTAATAAAATTATTCAATTTTCTTCATACATTAATAGATAACATTTATTTTTTGTCGTATTTTATATTTTAAATAAAATAAAATATTCATTTATATACAATAAAATATTTATTTCTATTTTAATTTACTAAATTAGAGTGATATACATTAATAATGTATATTAAAATTGAATTAAACAAATTGTAACAATATAATGTGAAGATCTTGGAACGGTTTAAAAATCATAATTGTTAATATTTTAGTTAACATGAAATGTTGACACTATTTCAAGTGTTGACAAATGATGTTTGTCACGTAAATCAGTTAATGTCTATTTAGTGCTCATTGTAGTAAAAATAATAGTAAAAAAAAGTCCTATGATTTATAATTTTTTTACAACCAATGAAATAATATATTTAAAGAAACCATTTATTATAAGATGTACCAAAAGGTTGTAAAAACATTAAAAAAAATGTCTTGTACCCAACACATTGTTCAAACCACACCAATCATATCCCTTTCCAATTAGATGATACACCATTCAAAATCTACGAACCATAAAAGAAAAACTAAATTATTTCCTAAATGTCATACTATAAAAATATCCTATTTTATAGCTCCAATTATTGAATTAATGAATTCAATATAAAATGTAAAACTCTTATGCATTAGTTTGATTGTGTATTTACAAAACTTGAGTTTGACTTCAATATTGTAATTCCTTTTGATAAAAAGATATTTATGTGCAACTTTGAAAATTATTCTATATCACCCTTTACCTACATACCATATTGCATAAATAATATAAAACTAAAATACCTCTTGTGAAACAATAAGTTCAAAATTCATATAGGTAACGAGAATCACATTGTTAATGGATATTACAAATAGGTACCTGTGGTAGATAACGGATATGAATATTTTTTACACCTGCCTGTTAACGAGGATACCCGTGGATACCTGTATCCAGTGTTTTAAAAACCGAACCGGTTATTGAACCGGTGAGAGTACTGGGTCAATGGGTCAATGGTTAGACCGGTGGGTCACCTATTAAACCGCATGACCCGGTTTCTATTAAAAAAAATTAAAAAAATATTTGTTATACATATTTCATACCTATAAATTTAAAAAAAAAAAATCACATCATACCTTAAAAGAAACTCCAAAAAAATTACAAACACATTTTAACTAATTTTTGGCAAATCAAAAATGGCGGTTGTGGTGCCCAAGTTTGAATAAAATAATGTTTAAGTAGCCGTAATCAAAAAATCAAAAAATGCTACCAATAAACAATAAAAAAACACACATTTTCCTGTGATTTTATAACCTTATAACCTGAAGCAAAGGCGTGGTGGTGCGACGAGGTGGCGGTGCAGCGATGCGGCAATGCGATAGTGCGACGGTGCGGTGGTGCGACTATGCGTGGTGCAGCGGTGTGGCTGTGAAGCTGTGGCAGTGCGGCTGTGCGTGCAGAGAAGCGACCAGCAGGATTTGTGTCTCAAAAGCAAACTGAAAAAAAAAACTTAGGGTTTGAAGCTTAAACGGAGCATGCAACGAGAGGCATTTAAAAAAACGACGTCATTGAATTATTTTTTTTTTCAAAAAAAGTTATGAACCGGTTTGGGTCCAGACCCGCGAGTCGCTAGTTCAACCGGGTTTTTAAACGGTTCACACCGAGTCATACCGAGTCAGCTGCATATCCGATCTGATCAGTGGTTCAACTCGGTCCAACCACCGATTTCCGGTTCGACCGGTTCGACCGGCCGGTCCGAACCGAGTTTCAAAACACTGCCTGTATCCACTAGTTTAAGGCACTTGTATTTTTGGGGTTGCCAGACAAAAATAAAGATTTATAATCACAAGAAAAAAAATTGAATGCAAGAACAATCAATGAATATTTCATTGGTTGTCCAGAAAAATTAGCTAGAGTACAAGCTCTATTGACTTATGTCTCTAACAATAAAGTAAGTGTTCCTCTAACTGTTGTGTCAAACAACAATGAAGAAGAGCAACACAATAATGAACCCATGATTCAAAATGAACTTATTGTATAACAACCACAAAAAATAACATTAAGGAGGTTACGAAGAGAAAGGAGATCAGCTAATTTGAACGACTATATGATATATCTACACAAGTTAGAAATTGAGTTAAGCATTAATGAAAATGATCTAATTTCATTTTCACAAGCTATAAGTTGTGATAATTCTGAAAAGTGGTTAAATTCCATGAAAGAAAAATTAAAATTCATGGAACAAAATGATGTTTGGGACTTTGTAAAATTGTCAAAAGGTTGTAAGAGAGTTGGTTGTAAGAGAGTTGGTTGTAAGTGGGTCTTTAAGAATAAATGTGATTCTGATGGAAACCTTGAATAATACAAGGCTAGACTTGTTACTAAAGATTTTACTTAAAAGAATGAAATTGATTACAGAGAGACTTTTTTACCCATCTCCCAAAAATGACACTAGTAGCCTATTATGACTTGGAGCTATATCAAATAGATGTGAAAACTAACTTTCTAAATGGAAATTTAAAGGAGGATGTTTACATGGACCAACCAATGAGATTCTCGTTTGAGGGAAAGGAACACATGGTGTGCAAATTAAAGAAATCAATATATGAACTTAAACAAGTTTCACGCCAGTGGTATTTGAAGTTTAATGATACCATTGTTTGCTTTGGATTTAAGGAAAACATTGTTGATCGATGCATATACTTGAAGGTCAATGGGAGTAAAGTTATATTTTTAATTTTGTATGTTGATGATATCTTGCTTGCAACTAATGATCTTGGTCTTCTTCATGAGACTAAAAAGTTTATGTCTAGTAACTTTGAAATGAAAGATATGGGCGATGCAAGATATGTGATAAGAATATAAATATTTTGAGATAGATCACAAGGACTAATAAGTTTGTCTCAGAAAGCATATATCAATAGAGTACTGGAAAGATTTAGGATGGAAAAGTGTTCAGCATCACCCGTTCCAATTTAGAAAGGAGATAGGTTTAGTCTCACTCAATGTCCTAAAAATGTCTTGGAACGCAAACAAATGGAAGCAATTCTGTATGCATCGGTTGTTGTGAGTATTATGTATGCTTAGATTTGTACTCGACCAAAGATAAGCTTTGTAGTTGGAATGTTAGGAAGATACCAAAGTAATATGGGAATGAAATATTGGAAAGTTGCAAAGAAAGTTCTAAGAAACTTTCAGGGAACAAAGTGTCATATGCTTACATATAGGCGGTCTAATCACCTTGAGGTGATTGGATATTCAAACTTTGATTTTGTTGGATGTGTGGATTCAAGAAAATTCACTATTGGTCATGTATTTCTTTTAGCTGAAGGAGTAATATCGTGAAAAAGTGCAAAATAAATAGTTGTTGCTTCATCGACCATGGAACCTGAATTTGTAATATGTTTTAAGGCTACAGTTCAAACTAATTGGTTGCGAAACTTTATCTCGGGACTTGGAATTATCGATAGTGTATTGTAACAATTATGCAGCAATATTTTTTTCTAAGAACGAAAAACACTCTAAGGGTGCTAAACATATATGGAATTAAAGTACTTTGTCGTGAAAGAAAAAGTTTAGAAACAAAGAGTGTTAATAGAACATATTAGCACAAATCTTATGATAGTTGACCCTTTAACAAGGGGATTACCACCAAAAACATTTGTTGAGCACGTAAAAATATGGGCATTATTGTTACTAATGATTGTTGAGTATTATGTTTATTTTATATTAATGTAATTGACATTTTTAGCTCATTAATGATATGTTTCTGAATATCTTTTTTGTACGGTTTTATGCATATTTGTGTTAGAGTAATGTAAACAGGTGTTGTCTTGAATAAATATATTATGTTGGACCAATTATGTGCTCTTTATCAATGATCATATTAAGAAGAAAACTTTTTATAGTACGTAAAATGGACTATGTCAATTAAACTGTTGTACAACCATCATGACTCAAATTAGTTCTTATTTTTAATTATGAAATAATGACGAACCTAATGTATAAAGTGATTTAGTCATTTTAATGCGTACTATGTTAATTTATTTTTATTTATTTATTTGTATGTTATGAGAAATGGCACACGAGTCAAGTAGGAGAATGTAATATAATTATGTTTCATATGAGAGATATGTGATGTATAAATGAACTAATAAATAAATAATTAGGGACTAAATTATAAATGAGCTTAATGGAACATATTTGAGAATAATTGTTATTTGATGGGAATAACGATCTTTAAGGGGATTATAAATATCCACTGATGTGAAATAAGGTCCACACCCTAACAAAAAGTATTCTCTCAAACCTTAATCATCACGAAAGATAAAGACAGTAGAAAAAAAATAGTCAAATGGAGTGAAATCTTTGTTCTCTTCTCAAGAAGATCAAAGTACTTTAAGGATCAAAAGAGATTTTCATTATAGAAAATGTACGTATTGTTCTTTATTATTATGTGAGAATCATGAATTTCAAAAATCTTTTTAATTTTCTACAATTGATAATATTAAAAAATTTGAAAACTTACATTTGTGACTTGAGAAACATTGTTACAGGTCACACACACACACACACACACACACACACACACACACACACACACACACACACACACACACACACACACACACACACACACACACACACACACACACACACACACAC